CTAGCGGGGGGAGAAGATCCCTCACTAGCTGTCACAATGGGGGACTGGGGGGTGCAGGGGCTGGTCCATTCGTAACATGTTACACCTTGAATATGGTTGAACATGTTACGAAAGGTGAACTTATTCTTTAACCACTTGCCTACTGGGCACTTGTACCCCCTGCCTGCCCAGGCCATTTTTCAGCTTTCAGCGCTGTTGCACTTCGAATGACAATTGCACGGTCATCTTTTTTTTTTTTTTTTTTACACAAATAGGGCTTTCTTTTTGTGGTATTTAATCGCCGCTGGGTGTGTTTTTATTTTTGAAAATAAAAAAAGGCAAAAAATGTGGGGAAAAAAAATTGTTTTTTTCTTTGTTTCTATTATAAAATTTTGCAAACAGGTAATTTTTCTCCTTCACTGATATGTGTTGATGAGGCTGCACTGATAGGCGAAACTGATAGGCGAAACTGATATGCAACAATGATGGGCACTGCTGGGCGGCACTTACTGGCAAAGGTGGGTGGCACTGCTGGGCACAGGTGGGCAGCACTGGTGGGTGGCACTACTGGGCACTGATCATCAGTCCCGATCCGTCCTCTGACAATTGTTCTGTGACAGCGTGAGGAAAGTGCAGCCGATAACCGGCAACTGCATTTACTGGTGATCTGTGTCATTGGACACAGCTGATCACATGGTAAAAGGCCGCTGTGATTGTCCTTTTACCACATCACGTGATGAGTTGTGTCCGTAGATCGCTGGGGGCGTGCATTCACATGATGTGCTCCCAGGACTGGACAACCGCGCTGTAGCTGTCATTCGGCTATAGCACAGTTGGCAAGTGGTTAAAGGCCAAATCCGGACAAACAAAAAAAAAAAATACAGGTTTTACTTTGTTCCATAACACTTTGTTTTAAAGCCCATCTTTGGGGAAAAATAAATGTTCCCTTGCAGTGCGACTGTGCCCACACTGCATGGGGTCAACTGCTCGTTTTGTTTAGAAGTGAACAGAGAGCTCATACTCGCCCAATCCTTTGATCCTATGAAAAATGGCGCTCCCCCACTGTCTAGTGGTGGATTGTTCCTGGTCTATGGTGTCTGCTCTGGGTGTGACGATGTCAGGAACAGTCCACTACTCAAGACTGTGTGAGTGCAGGAGTGACAGGTCGCCATTGTGCTGGGGGAATCGGAGGATCAGGTAAGTATATCTCTGCTCCCCTAGAAAACAGTGCAAGTTTTTATATATATATATATATATATATATATATATATATATATATATATATATATATTTATTTATTTATTTATTTTTAATGTGACAATAAAAACATATACTGAGCAATAAAAATCAGCAGGCAAATAATAGTTGAAGTGGAAGAAGGAGTTTATTAGAACAGATTAGGGTAAACTAAGGACTGTGAGCCTTGGGCCAGTTTTGACTTTCACACATATATGTAAAAATCTACATTTTTTTGGGTAGAAAACTACTTAGAACCCCCAAACATTTTTTATATATATATATATATGTAAATATTTTATTCTATCTTTTCATGTGACAACACTGAAGAAATTGCACTTTGTTACAATGTAAAGCAGTGAGTGTACAGCTTGTATAACAGTGTAAATTTGCTTATATATATAAAAATGCAGCGCTGTAAATGATCAAATTAACAATAATAGTCCTGAAAAGGTGCTCAATAATTCCCAGTGCCAATGGAAAGAATGCAAACTAACCAGAAACACATTTAAAATACGCATGTGTGTAAGAAATCCTGGAGATTCCCCTCTCTCCCTCTGGTCAGAAAATGGATATGTGCTGAAATGGATGACGACGACGCCCTCTTGTAGGAAAACAAAATCCTGCAGGTTAGGAAGCTCCCAGGATAGGATATTCCTCTTCAATGGAACCAGGGCTGGGATTGAAATCACTCTGTGGCTGTGAAGTTGGGAGAAAGGCCCCTCACAGAGAACACAGAGAGATACTCATAGTGTAGTATATTACTTCAATTTATTTAAAAAAAAAAGTAAAACATATAATCAGGTGGCAAGTGAAAGTGACCCACTGACCCTCTTAAAATTATTGGTGGCCGCCGGGCCTCCACATGGCACCGGCGGCGTAGTGTCAACGACGTCCACAGGCTCCTCCTGACGCTTTTCGTGCGCACGCACTTCTTCTGAGGTAGAGCAAGGGTCCAAATTGGGCCCAATTAGCCATTTTCCCTCCCCCGTGTCATGTGACTCGTTAGTGATACAAGGTCTCAGGTGTGAGTGGGGAGCAGGTGTATTAAATTTGGTGGTATCGCTCTCACTCTCTCATACTGGTCACTGGAAGTTCAACAAGGCACCTCATGGCAAAGAACTCTCTGAGGATCTGAAAAAACAATTGTTGCTCTACATAAAGATGACCTAGGCTATAAGAAGATTGCCAAGACTCTGAAACTGAGCTGCAGCACGGTGGCCAAGACCATACAGCAGTTTAACAGGGCAGGTTCCACTTAGAACAGGCCTTGCCATGGTCGACCAAAGAAGTTGAGTGCACATACTTGGCGTCATATCCAGAGGTTGTCTTTGGGAAATAGATGTATGAGTGCTGCCAGCATTGCTGCAGAGGTTGAAGGGGTGGGGGGGTCAGCCTGTCAATTTTCAGACCATATGCCGCACACTGCATCAAATTGGTTTGCATGGCTGTTGTCCCAGAAGGAAGCCTCTTCTAAAGATGATGCACAAGAAAGCCCGAAAACAGTTTGCTGAAGACAAGCAGACTAAGGACCTGGAACCAAGTCCTGTGGTCTGATGAGACCAAGATGAACTTATTTGGTTCAGATGATGTCAAGTGTGTGTGGCGGCAACCAGGTGAGGAGTTCAAAGACAAGTGTGTCTTGCCTACAGTCAAGCATGGTGGTGGGAGTGTCATGGTCTGGGACTGCACAAGTGATGCTGGCACTGGGGAGCTACGGTTCTTGAGGGAACCATGAATGTCAACATGTACTGTGACATACTGAAGCAGTGCATGCTCCTCTCCTTTGGAGACTGGGCCGCTGGGCAGCATTTCAACATAACGACCCCAAGTACACCTCCAAGATGACCACTGCCTTGCTAAAGAAGCTGAGAGTAAAGGTGATGGACTGGCCAAGCATGTCTCCAGACCTAAACCCTATTGAGCATCTGTGGGGCATCCTCAAACGGAAGGTGGAGGAGCGCAAGGTCTCTAACATCCTCCAGCTCCGTGATGTCGTCATGGAGGAGTGGAAGAGGACTCCAGTGGCAACCTGTGAAGCTCTGGTGAACTCCATTCCCAAGAGGGTTAACGCAGTGCTGGAAAATAATGGTGGCCACACAAAATATTGACACTTCGGGCCCAATTTGGACATTTTCGCTTAGGGGTGTACTCACTTTTGTTGCCAGCAGTTTAGACATTAATGGCTGTGTGTTGAGTTATTTTGAGGGGACAGCAAATTTACACCTTTATACAAGCTGTACACTCACTACTTTACATTGTAGCAAAATGTCATTTCTTCAGTGTTGTCACATGAAAAGATATAATAAAAGATTTACAAAAATGTGAGGAGTGTACTCACTTCTGTGAGATACTGTATATAAAAAGTAATTGGGTATGCAGATTATTCATAAGATACTGTTAAACGTTAACTGATGCATACTGACATGGCTAGATTTAACTTGGACATTTAGGCTTCAATGATCTTTAGTTACAAAAGGGTTAAAAAGCATGAGATAAGCAATGTATTCTGCTGATTCTACAGTTGTTCTGTTTGTATACTTAATGCTTTGGTCACACCATGCACGGAATGATATCACTTTCATCAGAGACATCAGTTTTCATGCACATTTCAATGAGTTTTATGCAGGTTGCAGATTCCTGCACAGAAAAATCTGCATGTGATACTAATGTTGTGGTGTGAACAGGGCACATAGAGAACAATTGGTTTTGTTGTGCCCTTGCAGAATGCCTGGACAAAAACGAATGCCTCTGCACTATGGTGTGAACGAGTCCTAAATGATTTATTGTATCCATCTTTTCTTTAGAAGAGCTTAGAGCAGCGGTTCTCAACCTGTGGGTCGCGACCCCTTTTGGGGGTCGAACAACCCATTCACAGGGGTCGCCGAAGACCATCAGAAAACACATATTTCCAATGGTCTTAGGAACCGAGACACACTACTCCTCTATATGTCTCCAGGCGGGTCCGCCCACATGCAGATACGCCCACATTTGAGTACCTGGCGTGATGACATCATCGCGCCAACCCAATCATATACACCCCGTACAAATACAGGTGTGACAGGGTTGGCGCCATAATGTGCTTATGTGGACCAGTCACACATGTCCCGAGAATTTCTGATCTGGTGAGAAAGAAGCAATCTCAACCTTCGCACTGACGTTGGCTTTTTACGCATACTGTCGCAAAATGTAGCAATGTAGTTTACTGTTGTTATATTAAGCCTGTTACCTATGCTACACCATGCTTCAAGACAAAATTTCATTTATTTGTAATTAGAAATAAATATTTCACAATATTATTATTTTTATTATACAGGATTTATATAGCGCCAATAGTTTGCTCAGCACTGTACATTACAATGGGAGACCATACACAAGACAGTACAGTAACCATATGATTCAATACACGAGGGGTTTGAGGGCCCTGCCCCTTGGAGCTTACAATCTACAATATATAATTACATATTGTTTTTGTGATTAATCACTATGCTTTAATTATGTTCAATTTGTAACAATGAAAATACATCCTGCATATCAGATATTTACATTACGATTCATAATAATAGCAAAATTACAGTTATGAAGTAGCAAGGAAAATAATTTTTTGGTTGGGGGGTCACCACAACATGAGGAACTGTATTAAAGGGTCGCAGCATTAGGAAGGTTGAGAACCACTGGCTTAGAGCTATTGTCCAAAAGTATTTTGCTATTCAGAATTATGAAAGTCATCTGCTTCTATCATTTCTTTGTATATGTACCAATGATCTGGGTATTATTTCCTACAGAGTCCCTTGGGAGACATATTGTATGGGAAAGACAAGTGTACTTCACAAACACAGAGATCTCAGCAGGTTGGTGTACACAAGTTATTTTCTGTGATTTTTCAAAGGCATCTAAGAAAATTAATCCCCCCCCCCCCCCCCCCCCCAAAGAGAGAGGGCTGTGTTAATAAAGCTGCATACTTTAGCTCTTAAGTGAAATAAAGATTATAGTCTTCAGCCCTTCCATCATAGATCTGCAGTGAAAGTGAACCTTTTACCTGAAATTCTACTTTGTCATATACTAAAATATGGTCCTATTCACTCTGTTAACTATAGCTGTCTCACATCTAGGTGCCATCTGTTGAGCTGCAAGAGCAGTTAGCCCCAACCACATCTGCATCATGTTCAAAAAAAGGCAACAGTGACTCTGGTAAGGAACCTTCATGATCTCTGATACCTTGTTACCACATTGGACTTGACATTCCCACCAAAATGTGTATAATTGCCCTTGGTCATTGTATAAACAGTTATTGAGCACATTTTCTATGTATTTTTTTTTTTTTTTTACTTTGCTTAGAAGAAAATTCTTCAAATGATCAACCAGCAGAACAACAGAGAAAGCGCCATAAGTCAGACAGTATTTCATTAACCTTTGATGAAAGCCTTTCGTGGTGGGTGATAAGTGGCTTACGGTGTGATAGAAATAACAGTGATTCAACAGACACCTCTTCTAATGCTGTAAGTAAGGGGATTGGCTAGCAACAAATTGGTGTGAGAGATTTGTATCTTTTCAGTAAGGGGTGTCAGACCTAACAGTGCAAGTAAACAGCATTCAGGTGTCCTCACGCAGAAAATTCTGCTCTGTTGCATTTGAGGTAGATTCTATCCTACAGTGTCTGGTTTGCAATTTGTTTTGAATACAGGCTGAACCGATGAGGACAGAATATTTAAGAACAAAAATGTCAGGTCGACTGTGAAAGGTTCTGTATGCATTACACAGTTGGTTTTGAATCTGTCTGCATGATTGTGATGTGTTAAGAGAGTCCATAAGTTGTATTCATATGAAAGCTAAAGTCTGAATAGGCCATCTTTATTTGAACATCTGTTTCTCTGGAAAAATAAATATTCTCTCAATAAACATTCATCCTGGTAAGTGAATGGAGAAAGTTCAGCTATGATTAAGGGTCCTTCATACATAGGATAGTAGATGCATATTTTCTGAAGGATTGTTCAGTATGGGCAGCTTAAGGGAGATGCACCGTGTCTCTGTGGCTGTAGGGCACCGGACAAAGTACTTGAGGCACAATTTGCTTTATGTGCACTACAATCTTTCTTTTGCTATAAAAGCAATATTAAACCAGATTTTTGTTTTTGTAAAATTAAATTCTAACTTTCATCCTCTAGCTGTTTTTTGTTTTTTAATTTTATTTTTTTCATTTTTTTTCTCATATTTGCTTGCTCTTCACACTTTCTCCTTGCCCAACTTTAAGTATATGGGGGGCCCCCATGCCTTCCGGAATCTACGGAGTCTTGCTGGAGTCTCCAGTTCATGTCCGCTCCCATGGTGGATTGGTAGAGGCTCCTGAGCTTTGCCTTTTGAAAAATAGAAAAATAAAAAAAGAGAGCATACAAGTTCTGCTATTGGCATCTTATTAAAATATAAAATGGCTTTAATATCCCTTTTAAGTAAATGCAGACACTGTACACTTGGGAATGTTTGTAGCATCAGGCAGGATGAGCTGGAAAAGTAGTATGACCTGTTGGGCATCATCAAAAGAAAATCTAAATGCTGGGTGGGTAGATCTGTAGCACTATATGTGGCTGGGTATCGTTGACATTAGAGACTTTTGTTAAACTGATGATTCTAGCAAGACATCCCTAATCTCACACATCGGCCAATAAATATTGTAGGACTTCAGGATCTTCGAGACTTTTTTTTTTTTTTTTGACATTAGGCTATCCTTCCTGACGTATTACATGTAAAGAAGTACAGCCAAAGCTCTTTTGGCCATACTTCTCCTGTGGATCACAGGATTGCAATTTGTTCTGCACTCCTGTGACCCGTTTTCAGCTGACAGTGGGCTGAATTCACTCAGCCAGTCCAGGCTGGGGAAAGATCCTGACTTTAAAGTTGGGATCCACCCCAGAGTCTGTTGCGGCACCTGGCTCAGCCTCTCAGCGATGTGCTGAGAACCTGAGCCAGCCGCTTTCTCCCCCTCCACAGACCAGTGCTGGGGGGGGGTTGAGAGCACACAGCGGTGACTGACAATCTCCGCTCAGAGTGGCTGTGAGAACTCGTGATCGCTGATTTCTCACCCTTAGAGCCGGTGGAGGACAGATAAAGCATCGGAACGATGCTGCATCCTCCTAGGTAAGTATAATTGGGGGAAACAAAGCCCACACTTCTCTTTTAAAGGATAAGTTCACCTTTTAGTAACATTTGGATGTAACACATTACTAACGGAGCATCCCCTCCACACCCCCGAAATACCGCCAAGTCCCTGTTGTGACAGTGGGTCAAGGGATCTTCTCCTTACACCTGCTGTCACAATTAAATAAAAAAAAAATGAAGACAAAAAAAAAAAGCGCTTTGCTCTGCCCATTTGGCAATGTCATTCATTCACAGAGTTCTGTGAATGGGAGAACTAGAACTACCATTGCAGCTGACGGTTTGTAGTTCTCAGTGAATTACCGGGAAGCTGCTGAGCACTCCAGGTAGTTCATTGATTTTTCATATCATTCAGTAACTGCTGACCTGTGTAAGGTATGAGCAGACAGCTAAACTGACAGTCTGCAGGAGCCTGAGACTGTACCCATGATCTGCTGATTGTGGGTGCATTGCTTCTCAGGCTTCTAATAACAATTTTTTTTTATAAATGCACATTTAAAAAAGGTGAACTTATCCTTTAAAAGAACATTGTTTTCTGGCTGTCAAAATAAACATTTATTTTTCTTTGTAAGTGAATGCATTGATAAGTAAATATTTTTCATCATTCACTGGCTGTCGGGAGTGAAGCACTACCAGTGATTGCCACCTATTTCAGATTGGGTCTCTCTTCTTCCCAAACTGCAGTCACCATTTTTGCCACCTCAGCATCTCATCACTTATTTCTTTTTTCACATCTTGTTTTAGGACCTTCATACACATCCAGATGACTCTGATTGGCTGGACCAAGATTCTGACTCTGACCAGTTCAGCGTGGAATTTGAAGTTGAGTCTGTATATTCGGATGATTACAGCCCGAGTGTAGATGAACAGAGTCTTTCGGATGATGATTTAGATGATGAGGTAAACATATACTTTGAAGTTAAGTGCTAATGATGGCTTGAAAACCATCCACACAAAATGAAAATTTATTTTATTATAGAATGTGTATGTTATCCTCTGAACTAGTAGAAGGCAGAATTTCAGAACTTGTTTATTCTTTTTTGCATACATGGTTCTTGGACATTTCACTGTAAGAGCATCACAGCTGAATGGTTTGTTTGTGCAGACAAACAAAATAAAACAAGCTACCTGTACAATACACAGACAAATAATTTGGTTAATACTGAACTCCATGTAGTAAGTTTAACAGTTTAAATACAAAAAAGGAACTATTTTACCCACCAAAAAATTTTTACTTCTTTGATCCCGGCACCCATTAGACCTCTCACCCACATCCTTGACCTCCATTGCAGCAGCACAATGTTCTCCAACAGCACAGTCTGCTGATTGGATAATGAAGAAGCTGCAGCATGCTGGAGAAGTCATCTCTCTGCTCACTTTCTTTTCTCATGTTAGTACATTGACATTGAGCAGAGTCTGAATGGCTCAGTATGCTGCATGTCCTTGCCACCTTCTCAACCATTGTGAGAGCTCCTGTGCAAACAGATGGCTGCTCTCAAGGCAAATTTCGGTACTTGCCATATTTGTATTTAAATAGACATGTAATTACTTTTTTGAATGAATACTTTTTTTTTTTTCCTATCCATGTGGAGTTCAGCTTTAACAGGAACATTTATTTAGCTATTTATGCTACCTCAAATAAAAACCTTCAGCCCCGTACACACGAGGAGAATATTGGACGAATGATCGGCTGTTTGTTTTTTTTTTTTTTTTTGCATGCTAGTCTCGTGTGGATAATGAAAAGATTACTAAAGTTACGAAAATTCTCATAGGACAGAATAAAAATCTGGAAGTCATGTATTGCAATGTATTTGTATTGTAGTTTTGGACGAAAATTGTGCTGACTAGACGAAAATTGTACAATCTTGTAACGTACGAGAAAAAAGTTTGTGCTTGTCCCTTTGAATAATTTCGGACAAAAGCTGTGTATTGACGATCAGATTATCGTATAATCGCTTCGAAAGTGGTATTTTTTTTGTACAATTTTCTGATCGTGTATGCTAGGCTTTATTTGTATTTAGTGATATTTAAGTGCTGCTTAACAGCATTCAGGGAAAACAATATTTTGGTAAGCAACCACCTCTGCTAATGCATTTTTTATCTGGCTTCATTGGAAGGCTTTGGATACTTTTCAAAACATCTATTTATATCCAGCCAGGCATTTGTTGGTAAGCTCTATTGCTAACTGAAACTTTGAAACTGAATGAAGGTAGATGGTTGCAAATATTGTGTATAAAGGCATTTTGATTTCTGAGCAATGTAATAATTTTTTTTCATCTTTTTTGTATTTAAACACACCAAATCGTCATGCCTTCATTGCAGTATTTCCTCTCTTACTTCCATAGGCTGCTGTAAGCCTGGTCTCTTGTTACATTTTGGGTACTATAGATGATCAGCAACTTCTGGCATCACTGAAATGCATGTTCATATGCTTGTGCATTTTAGTGAGTGGCCCCTCGTCTTCATTGCTCCAAAGCTAATGTCATCTGTTCAGATGTGAGTGGGAAGGCAGAGAAGCATGCCAAACAGCCTGTCAATTCCCACACACACTGAGCTCAGATCCAATCTACAAGACTAATCGTTGTCTCTCAGGTAGGAAACTAGAGCAATTCATTTTAATAGAAAATGTATTTTAAAATACAATGGGTTTTTTTTAATCCGAGTTTATTGAATGTTAGAATAAGACAAACAAGAAATACAGAATGTAGAACAGAGTATACGAACATTGCGAATGTACCATATTTCTGCATGAAGAGCATGGGCATGGAGTTCCAGGTTGCAACCGGACTGAATCGGAATCGATACATCACAAAGATGACTGCCTTCCAGGGCTGATTGATATATTTTAAAAGGGTGTGGCATAGAGTCTCCAATGTTTAGAGTCCTGGGTGGTTGCATAAATATCATATACAAGACGTGGGCAAGGAGAAGGACATGGGGAAAAGAAAGATGGGGAGGAGTTGGAACAAGGAAAGAGTGGGTGAGGGGGAGGAGTGTAGTGGGAGGGTTTAAGGTAAAGGATGCAAGGGTACTAAAGTAGGGTTTAGGGGGCCTACCTATCATCATCGCAGCACTTGAACAGTAAATGCATACATTTTAAGGGGATAATCTGTTGCAGAATTCCTGTGAGTTCCAAAGGAACTCAAATTTGAGTATATGAGATCTGTTTATTTTCCTAAGCCAGAGCTGCAAAATCTAGTCTAATTCATTGACCCATTCTGAAAGGGTAGGTGGTTGGAGTCAGTGCCAGCTGCAATCACAGTACATGCTTGCAGTGAGAAAATGTTAAAGGAGATCTTGAGCAGCATGTATAACAGAGCCTGGTAACACAGAAAGTGGAACAATATGAGGAAGGTTAGGGACAGCGGAACCTGTGGTTTTCGTGTTCTGGATTATGTCCCAGAGTTTCTTGTGAGGGTGCAAGCCCACCAAATGGGACATAGTGTTAAGTTGGTTTTCTCCACCATTGGATCATGACTGAGGGATTGATGAAGGGGAGCATGGTAGGGCACTTTGTACCAAGTGAGAATTTTGAAATTTGGTTTCCTGAGCTTTGTTTGCTAAAGAGCCAATGAGTTAAGATGAAGGCTTGCATGAAAGGCCTGTTAGCCTCCTTTCTCAATAGCTCTCCAGGTCTTATGCATACATACAAAGTTTGTTGCATTTAATCATGAAATCTAACTTTAGAAAGAAGCAATAAAGCAATATCATAATGTATCGCTACTAAGCAGGAATCGGAGCCTGCTTATGTAATAAGCAAATAGGGTTGCTGCCATGTACATGTTAATTACATGCTACATAAGCCAGTTCTGCTAAAAACATGAATGGCGATTTGATAGCGTTTAAATGAAGGTAAGCACTTTTACCTTTTTTCACCTTTACCTTTTGTTTAGAAAATGTACGAATGGAGCTGGTAAATAACTTGGCTTGTCACGGAGATGACAGTGGAAGAGCTCACTACTGGAGTTCCAGTCACTAGTAAAAATAGGACATGGAGAATTGATCTTTTCTTATACACCTTGTTAGGGCCAGTTCACACCACTGGTAGTCTAGTTCCTTTTTTTTTGTTTTTCTACATCAGGAGCACATTGATAGTAGGTTACCTGGTGAACTATGCCATTGGAAGCACCAGTGCGCTCAGTTCCAATGCATTCCAGTTCCAGAAAAAAAAGTAGAACATGCTGCATTTTTTCTGCATTGAACTGTACTGGAACGTAGTAAAACGCATCAAAAATGCACTGGAATGCACTTGTCCTTTAATTAAAAGAAAAAGAGAGGGGGAAAAAATGAACCGGAATGCATCAAAAACAGATCAGAACATGTCAAAAGAGCGCATACAGAAACACATTCGGACTGTTTCTATGGCATGAATCATAATTTAAAGTTTAACTGTGTGGGCACTTAAGTTGTTCTTATTAATGTCTAAGCTTCCAATGTATCATATGAAGTATTTTTTCCAAATGTAAAGAAAGCCAAAACAATTCAGTGAGCGGTGGTACATTAAGCCACCTATCTATCAAAGTACTTCAATCCACCAATGCAGAAAAAAAGAAAAGCAGAAACATACATTTGTACAAGAAGAAAGCTAGCTTACTTTTGTTCTTGCAAGGTGTACTGTTGGAAAGGTGCTACTAAGAAGTGCAATTATTTCGATGATGATTTAGAAATAATATAATCTTAGAATATTGTTTGATAGTCTAAATTCTGTAAGAGAATATGTTTCTTTATAATGAATTTCTGTTTTCTAAATCTAGGTGTATCAAGTAACCATATACCAAGCTGAGGATAGTAATGGGGATTCTTTTGAAGATGATACTGAAATTTCAGAAGCTGTAAGTAAATTGTTTTTTTTCTATGGACTTCTCCAAAATATAAATGTGTTTTAGTCTTAAGCCTCATAAAGCCCAACAAGGGCCTGTTGAGCCAAATAGATCAATACTGGAACATTCCTTTGATGTGATTGTTTTGACTGTGAAAGTTTCAGCAGCAGAAAATTCAGCACAACACAGAGGATACTACATGGGGGGGGGGGGGAAGGTGATGCGAAGGGCAGCAGAGAACACTGTTTTGAGGGGGGGCTGTGGACACTACAGTGGGAGCGTGATGTGAAGGGCGACAGAGGACACTGCTTTCAGAGGGGCAGAGGACACTGCTACTTGGGAAGGAGGGGGGGTCAAGGGACTCTGCAGTGGGGGATGATGTGAAGGGGGCATCTACTGTGGGGGGTGTAGAGTACATTACTGTGTAGCAGGGTAGGTGATGTGAAGCGGGGCAGAGGATGCTACTGTGACGCACAATGGGGAATATTTACTAAAAACTGGTACACTCGGAATCTGGTCTAGCTCTACATGCTAGTCAATCGGCTTCTAACCTCAGCTTGTTCAATTAAACTTTGACAATAAAACCTGGAAGCTGATTGGTTTCTGTGCAGAGCTGCACCAGATTTTGCACTCTAGTTTTTTTTATTTAAGGGCATGCTGACATGCATACATGTTGACAGGAAAAGGGGTAGTTAAATCCCAGCTCCAGGAAATTTGAAAATCTTCCCTTGCAGTGGGCTGCTATCGCACTGCATGGGTTAACCTTTGAGAGAATAGAAGTACTTTTACTTGCCTGATCCTGTTTCCCCGGCAGACAGTACTCCCTCATGCTCCAGCAGACTGTCCGTTGACGTTGTCACATCCAGTGCAAGAATTTGCATTGGTTTTGGTGGTGGCACGACCTTAGACTGCTGCTGCTAGAGAATGATGGAGAAGGTGCTGCAGGGACTTGTCTATCAATGTGGAAGATTGGGTCGGTAGATCTTTTTTTTTTTTTGTGCCCTAGACCTTGCATTACAGGTGCAGTCACACTGCAAGGGAGCATTTTTTGTAACTTTCCCAGAGTTGGGATTTCCACTTTTGCACTCAAATTTCTAAAAACTCCACTATGTGTTTTTTTTTTTATTTGTGTTCCAATTCACACAGAATACCTAAAAAAAAAAAAAAAATAAAAGTTAACCCTTTAGATGTTTCTCACTCTTAATCTCTTGGCCACATGCAAATATGTGGCCTCCCAGCCAATCAGTGATCACATGATTGGGACCTCACACAGAGGTCCACGGAGGACACAGCGCGCTCCCAGGGAGTGCGCACAATCCAAAATGGCAGGCGCCGTTTATGAACAGCAACCCGCCCCTGCACTGCCACCGTCCGCCCGTTTATATACAGCGGCCGGAAGGGAAGTGGTTAAACTAATCATACCAAATCCTCCTGCGCTTAAATGGATGATCCCTTACCCTAAGCAGCTCACACCCAAACCTAAACCTAATAGGTGTAAATAAAAATAACAAAAAATAGTGTGGCGCTAATACATCGTAATAAATACATAAACAATATATACAAGTGTAAAACCACAAAATCTCTGGTGATATGATCCTGACAGGATCTGATGGTGAAGTAATATACAGTGAAAACGTGAAAAAAAAGAACAAATCCTGTATATTAGTGAGAACACAACCCCAACTCCACAAAACCCCCCTATCCCCAATTGAGGGATCAAGCAATCCCAAATGCTAAAGTGAAAATTAAAGTGGATCCCCTACCAGGGGGATACTAAACCTATCAGAAAGTGATTAAGTGCCAAACAAACACACTTAACCACATAAAAACGTCCACATAAATGAAAGTACAATAATAATACTCAAACACTAAAGTCCACAAAAATGTCCAATATTGAATGAAATGATATATAAACGTATACACGTGATCCATCAACGAAGTCGTGCAAGTGATGAAGTGAATACGTGATCACAGCAATAGTGAAAATCCTCAAATGGCCAAAATGCCCCCTCACCTCCTTACAGTGACCGCAAGGGCCAGCTCGCTTTTAGGATCACACCACGATCCTTAAAGGTAATGGTTCGTCACAGGTAATGGTTCGTCACAGGTTAATATCCGTACTGGATCCAGTCAATGGTGGCACTTACTCCTCTCAGGTCCACTCCAGGCATAGGTAACGGCAATATCGCTCACTCTCCCATAAAGGATCATATTAACAAAGCAAAAAGTCAATTGCCCATTCACATGTTATCCACAGAATATCAGCTTGTCACCTCATGCTATGGGTGTACTGCATGGGTAATGTTAGGTGTACCAAGATGGCGCCCACGCCAGAAATGACGTCACCACGCACCGAAAGTTCGTCACCGCGTACCAACACGTTACGTCACACTAATCACGTCACTGATGATAGTGTTTGAGTATTATTCTTGCACTTTCATTTATGTGGACGTTTTTATGTGGTTAAGTGTGTTTGTTTGGCACTTATCACTTTCTGATAGGTTTAGTATCCCCCTGGTAGGGGATCCACTTTAATTTACACTTTAGCATTTGGGATTGCTTGATCCCTCATTTGGGTATAGGGGGGTTTTGTGGAGTTGGGGTTGTGTTCTCACTAATATACAGGATTTATTATTTTTTTCACGTTTTCACTGTATATTACTTCACCATCAGATCCTGTCAGGATCATATCACTAGAGATTTTGTGGTTTTACACTTTTATTTATTGTTTATGTATTTATTATGAGGTGGTTAAACTATTTTCATAGTTCCTAAAAATATTTCTGCTACAGAATGAAAGACCTGTTGTAATGATAATATGGAAATAGGGTGTCTTTTTTTTGACTGGGCTTTTTCTGGGGTGCTCCTTTAAGTATCTTGTAACTGTCATTGCAGGATTATTGGAAGTGTTCTGAGTGTAATGAGATGAATCCTCCCATCCCAAGATACTGTCACAGGTGTTGGTCTCTTCGGAAGGGCTGGCTTCCTGATGAGAACGAGAAAAAAACTAACTCCTTAAAGAGGAAAAAGATGGAAGATTCCCTGGATGATGAGGGCTTTGATGTACCTGATGGCAAAAAGGCGAAATTGGCAGATTCACAAGAATCAAATCAAGAAAAGAAGGAAGATAAGGGCTTGCAAAGTTCAGAATCCCAGGAGACAGAGGACTTTTCTCAGCCGTCCACATCGGGTAGCATGGCTTCATGTAGTCAGGAGGAGCTCAGAGAGAATGAACGGGAGCAGTCCTTTGAGGAAAGTTCAGAAAAGAGCCTGCCTTTGACGAGCATAGAACCTTGTGTCATTTGTCAGACAAGGCCAAAAAATGGATGCATTGTCCATGGCAGGACAGGGCACCTCATGGCATGTTTTAGCTGTGCAAAGAAACTGAAGAAAAGGAACAAGCCTTGTCCTGTCTGCAGACAGCCCATCCAGATGATTGTATTAACATACTTCAGCTAAAACTGAATCCTTAACCATCAAGATTTAAAATAGAAAAAAATAGACTATTATAAAACCTTTGTATCCAATAGTTATACAGAATATATATAATTAATATTTTTTTTCCTCAACAGGAGTGTGGACTGTCAAACTGTAATATTTGTTTGGGCTGTTAGTTGCTTAATGAAGAATTCTAGTAAGCCGGTTTAAGAACATGTACATACCGGTAGTTTAAATCTTATAGTTTGTAAATTTCGGCACAGTTTTGTGTATTTTGTCTTACTCATCATATATTAGGAATGCTTGGTATCCAGTAATGAGGATGTGATCACAAGTATGACACATGGTGACCACATTTGCACTTGACAAACTGGGACACTAATTCATTTTTAGGGTGATGGCATGTTTCTAATCACATACACTGTAGCTGTGAAGAAGGTATCTAACCAGTTATTATATGCAGGTGCATTTAGTCAGTTGGTCAGGATTCCAAAAGTATACAGTAGACTAAAATGATACACCACAAGGTATGTTTGTGAAAGTTCTAATTTATTCAGGTCTTCCTATAGCTAGAGGTAGTTGTTCACATTCAACTGGAATTGTTCTGTAATTTTTGAAGAGATTTTCCAGCTTGTCCAAGCTGAATCTTGTAACTGAAGAGGCTTCTTGGATAAGATAGAAAATGTCCAAGGGTCCATTATACTTGCCTGTTTTAAAGAAGCAAAACTCTTGCACTTTCTGCATTAAAATGCATGTCAGATAGAAATCTCTTTTTTTTCCTGTGTGGCTGATTTATATCTATGCACTGGAGTTTAATGATGAAGACAATGGGAAAACTATGGGCCCGTTCACACTTGCATGTGTGCATAACCATGCATGCGGCATGTGCATAGAACAGTATATAAATCAGTCTTAATCATTACAGAACAAGTCCATTTTAATATTTAGCCACTACTGGCTATACCACAAGATGTCAACTCCATGCTTCTGTGCTAAAAGCTCCAAAGGTGCTTCTGTGCCCCTCAGGAGCCGTGAACACTGAACCTCACTAGTTCAAAGATTTGGTGACCTAAGTTGGAGCTTTAATGATGTGTTCCTGACATTTTAGCAATGTATAGAGCGGTGCACACTTTGCGTTATGCAACTGGGATTTTGCAAAGCACTTTGTTTATCATGGTATTTATGCACAGTAATCATAGAAGCCCCTGAAGCACACAAGGTGGGGTTATATGCAGGCATCTTGTGGTGGCTGCCAACTTAGCACTATAGAGAGATTCACTTAAGAACGTGTAAAGAGTGTGTGATCTCCATAGAAAGACAGTGTCACTGCTCCACCCCCATTTGAAATCCTTTACTGTTGGGTCCTTTTTGTATAAGGTCGGTATAAGTTAATGTGGTGAACAGCGCGTAGCAAATGAAGTATGCACTGGACTGTTTGTCTTGGTGTACACTTTCACATTTGTTATTGATTAGTCAGAAATTCTTCCCAATTGGCACCTTTTGAATTGCATGACTACAGAACCTATAAGTTGTCAAATAGGTTAGCTTAAATAACAGACATCAGAAGTCCATTCTTGTCTGTGAGGTTTCTCACACGTCAAGTTTTCATTCTCCGTTTTGTATATTGTATAGAAAAGAAATATTTGCATGCTTGCATTAAGGGTTACAGTTGTGTGACGGACTATCTCCAGTAGGCAGTTTAATTCTGCATCAGCCATGGTAGAATGCGTTCTCTTTCTATCTCATAGGCCATCCTGCTTTTCTACCAGTCTTTTTCAGGTGGAAAGCATGCAGTTATTTGCACATAGACATTTTGAAGGATCTCTGAACCTGAATACAAGTTACCTTTTGCAAATGTTTTGGTATTCATAACCTGTGTGAGTAATTTTCAATACAATTAACAAACCCCTTATATTTTAGTTTGTGAGCACGCCTGCAAAAATTCCAGGAGTTAGGCAGCCAACGCACATTGAAGATTCCTTTATATTGCTGTTGATGGCAGTGTAGATGCTACATTATAACATGTTGCTAGCTCCTGGCTTGGTCTGACTGCTTCTTGAAATTTCGTTTTATAATCTACACAATTTTATTTTGCAGTCTGATCTGGATTCCAGTTCTTATCTGGAAAAAATTGTAGCCTGAAGACATACAGTATATGTTGCGTATATTTTCTCTATAAGTGTCCACTAAATTTTTACAGATCTCTTTGAAGTAATGTATTTTATATGAAGAGTTTGTAATAAGAATTAATGGATGACACCTGTTCAGTTGTCCTACTTACTACGTGATGTATGTCTGCTATGCAGAATTTTTGTTCTTGTGCCTTGCCGCGTTCTGAGCATTGGTTGTGAATGCAAAGATATGGCCCAAAACCCAAACCACCTAGTGATACTTGTAAGGTATTTAGTATATAGTTAGTAAGATATTTTTTGAACTTTAGTGGAGGATATTCATAATGATTGAGCTTTGCTTTAGTTTTCCTAAACTATCATTTGTGAATTAACACAAAATGTTCTACTGAGTATTGTTTAACAGAAATGGTACATGTGAATGCACACTTCACGTAAGCTGATGGATGACCTTGACTGCCTCTGTTTCATGTTTTGGTCAGTGCGGTCTTGCTAGATTGGCCTTGTAGAGGAAAACGATTTTTTGCAGGTGAATGTGTTCCATCTTTGCTGTCTTTATTTTGTGAAACATTTGAGTTTGTGCTATTAGAAACTAAATGAATCTATATCTTGCTTTTTATTAAAAATATGATTGGCTAGAGCAGTTTTCCAAGGCAGGGATATTTCCAGGATAAATAAAAATTGGGACTATATGACTGTGCTCAGCCATTCTTGCGATTTACACATACCTGTTGCATAGTATAACCAGATGTTTGACCCATTCTCCACCAAACACTGTAGATTCTGTGACACTTGTTTGCTAATTATCAATGGACAAGCATCTACCTATTGCCAAATACCTTCCTGTGCCCTCTAACATCTTTCCAGCCTGCTTACAAGACAAGAGACTGACAATATTGTATAATACAGGGGTGCTCAACCTTTTGAAGAGTGGGGGCCACTTAAGTGATTTGGTAACTGGTCACAAGCCACAATAAACTATGGGGTTCCCCCTCCCCCAAACTGCCGCAGGTGCACTGCGCTGCACCCACGGATTAGTGTGAAAGCAGCCTAATAGTTAGGTTGTATAGGTACTAATATGCCCTTTCCAAAAGCTATTATGCCCACTGACCTTCTTTCCACTTGCAGCTGCTGCTGGCATCACTCTGCAGGTTGCTAAAAGGATTAGAGGCGGAGTGCACTTGGTATCACTCCACCTGGGACAGGAGTCCTCAGTAGGCATGTGCTTCCCTAGTTTGAGGTTGAGGGCCACATCAGACAGCTCCGAAGGCCACAGGTTGAGCCCCCTTGATATAATACAATGGAGCCTTTCACTGTCATGCCAATTACTGCATAGCAGAGGCTTCTGAGAAGATATCTTTGGGCAGCCAGTCATGATAGCTGTATTTTTAAACGTATATGATAAAAAAAAAATTTTTTTGTCCATTAGATACATTCGTAAAGGCCTTCTAAGCTACGTTTTTGCCTGATACATTCATTGTTGGAATATTGCAGTTAATGTACATGCAATTTAGTTTACTAACGAGGCAAGCAATCAAATCAACAGGTTCTAAATAGAGTTTTGTTTTTTTTTTTTTCCCAGACACCCAAGTGCTTCTTTACAAATTTGCAATGATAGTGTATCATTGGTCCAAACATGAATTCATATTTTCTCTTTTTTTTGTGTGTTGAGCATGGATGGGGGACTGAACTGTGTCAGCTACTTTTCTTGCCTCATGCCTGTTTTTCATAACTTAGTTTGTTTCAGCTAACATGCCAAATTGTAATAAGATCCTTTAGAACTCAGGCATAGATTTGCTGACATTTTCTGTTTTCAGGAAGGCGGCTGAGTTTTGGTACGTGAAATGTACACTAAGGCTACGTTCACACTAGCCTTGTGTGCAGGCGGCAGAGAGGCGTTTGGGAAGCGTTTTTACCGCTTCCCAAACGCCTCTGCCAATTCTGCACATTACAGCACATGATGCTGTTCTAACGGGAGCGTTTGCGTCGCGTTGCGTCGCGGCAAAACTGACGCCTCTGGACGAGTCAGGAGGCTTTGAAGCCTCCTATTCTCGTCTATGGTGCCGCGGTTGCGGTTGCGACGCGGTTGCGGGGCGTTTGCGGAGCGGTAACACCACTCAAACTGCATTATAGGCGTTTGTGGGGCGTTATTAACGCTCGGCAAACGCCTAGCAACCGCCGCTAAACCGCGCATGCAGCGTTTGCGGAGCGTTTGCCGAGCGTTAAAAAACGCTCCGCAAACGCCGGACCAACGCTTGCCAAACGCTATAGGGGCGTTTTGGCAAGCGTTGGCAAAACAGCCTAGTGTGAACGAGCCCTAATATTGACAGCCCGTAGGAACACCCAGCATTCACTTTATTTGGCTTGAGTGTTAATAAAGGCAGTATAACCTGTCTGCTGGTGAATTGGTGTGCAAGACCAGATCTATGCATTTCTGTGCTTCATAATTTGATTTTTATTTGGCAGATTTGTACAGCGAAAGGTTTAGTTTGTTGCCAATGTTAATTAAATTCTGAATATTTAAATATAGTTATTTTTACGCTGGATACAGTGGTCTGCTTACTACTGGATTTTTGGAAAGGTTAATCAGTGCTACATCCCTCTTATACTACTATAGGCACTTGTATTAAAAACAAGTAGTAACAATGTTCAACATCTAAGAGAGACAAAAAGTGATAGAATAATAAATTGACGTAAATGCTCAGAAGTAATATTTAAAGATTATACATAAAACACACATTGGCAGCATCCTTCAATGTGAACAGCGATTTGCTTGACATTGTTAGATGATGATGATTTTATCTCCTTGATTTTGGAAATTTCTATTAGAGTAAAATGTGTTCATGACTTTTCTTGGTTTGATGTGCTATCATAATCCCGCTACTACATTTG